CATTTGCTCTCCCCCACCCTCACTCACTCGCTCATTTTCACCGGGATGGGGAGGGTCCCTTTTCGACCAGCATGTTCCAGTTGAAAACCAGACACCTAGCAATGCTAAATAAGACCCCCACTTGGGCTTTCTGCAGGGATTTAACTCTGGACCTCTCCATCTAACAGTCCATTAGTTCTAACCTCTTTATGTGGTCCAGCCACTCAAAGGGGACTCTAACCGAATGGCTGCCACCCGCGCCCTGCTTCTTGACCAGGGGTTCCTCTTCAGTGTGCCCACCCCTGCTTTCCCCTTCTTCGGGGTTCCTTAAATCACACACCGTCTTTCTCAATAAGTCACAGAGTTTCCTGGGGTCTGGTTTCTTTATTTACAAAGTTCCCCCCAAAAAACAAACACAAAACAAATCTTCCACGCTACCTCCTCTCTGAGGTGCGGTCTGAGCAGCCAACTCTATTCTTCAGGGACCACTGCAGGAAATCATCAGCTACAGCCCTCCTCCTAACTCTGCCTTAATGAACAGCCTCAGACCCTTTATAGCCCAGGTGCAGCCCTGACCCCTTAATTGACTCAGCTGGGAGTACCTGCTCTGGCCCAGGGCAGCTGAACCTAATTTAATCACAGGGGCCAGCCACGTTGTGACAGGGACAGAGATCTACACTAATGTGGGTTACAGCTGCATGCTGGCATGGGTCAGCAGATCTGTAGCCACCAGAGAGAGAACCCAGTAAGGTGGAAACTGGGTGCCCCAGTCTGGCCCCTATCTAAACATCAGAGTCTCTGGTTTACAGGCGCACTGTGATATGGAGGGGAATCTAGCCTGGTATCCACTGTGGCATCTGAACATCTATCAGGATATATGAACAGCAAGTGTAGTCCTCAGATCAAGGCCTTTGTGCTCCCTGACCAGCAATACCAGCTTAGCACACCCACCCTACTTCCCTTTCGCACATTCATTGTTCCCAGTTAGTTGAAAGGTGGCTGGGGGCATCTGTGTGGGTGCTGTACGCAACCAGAAAACAGACACACATCAACACTTTTGTGTTCAGGCAGATACTGTGTGCACCTGTTTAGTGGGTGTCACTCTCCTTGTATTTTGACAGAATTTTGACACTTTGCACTTGACAGAAATCATGCCGTTACTGAATACTGCTATATTAGAATACCAGCACATATTTTTCTTCAATCCAAATGATTCTTGATACAGAAAGTTAGGGGTCAGAGAGTGTGAAAAAAGTCTACATCCAAGAACATTTAAGAGTAAACTGCTGAAGATGAAAGCCAAGAACTCAGTCATAATTCTTTTGGCATCTATGTATATATACATTATTGAATTAAATGACTTACTGAAGGCCCTCTCGCTTTTAGAGAAAGGGGATGGTGGTTCATAGGCTGAAATAAGAATTTTATTCCTACCTTAATCCTCAGTGGTTCTTTTAAGATTTCATAAGAGCCAACGGTGTCCAAAACCGTCACACAAAGTTCAGGATAGATTTTTTTTTTCTGCTGCCCATCATCATATCTGAGGACCTTCTGTGTAAAACTGATAGTATTAGTGAAGTCCCTGGCTCTGCTCCCTTTTCAGGGTAAAATTTCTGCTTGGGATAGGATTATGTTTTAGTCTGGTTCATTGATTATTAATTTAATTTTGTTTGCGTCTTTGATTTTGGGTTGAGGGTTGTGCGTGTTTGTTTTTTAATAGAGGTAGAAGGGGAGTAAATGTGGAGTGTTGTCCTTATGATAGAAAGGCTTACTCTGCAAAATCTTCCCTTTTCTGAGAATCCTAACAATAGTCAAACTCTGGATTTGCCTGATCTCTTCTGCAAATTCATTCTACACTGCTGTATAAAATTCCTGTTACAGAGAAGAGTGAGACTTCTAACAGCAGCTGTAACATTTTGAATCCTCTCAGGACAAAGAAATTGATTTTGGCTGTTTTCCTGTTCTGTATTCATTTGTTCCTGGCGGTTTCTTGTGCCTGTGACCTGGCTTTGGTACTAATCTCCCGCATCTGCTACACACAGGCTGGTAAACAGTGCAAAAGTGGTGCTGGCTTTCTAAGGACTCCGGGGGATTATCACAGGCGTGCTTGTGCTAGCCGTGGGTGGTTTAGAACAGCTATAACTGATGGGAGCTGGCCCAGTGTTCCTATGGCAGATCTACTGGGAGCAGATAGAGGAGCTGAATAGGATAGAGAGAGGGAATGGCAGTTAATAATTGTTAGAACGGCACATTATTGCTACATTTACGCAGTGGGACATTTCCTGAACACATGGTATTGCCCTCCCCCCATCCTCACTAACTCCTCTCATATTGTCCAATGCAGCATCCTTTGTGGTGGTCATTTAATTTGTTGTTTTCATCTAGCCCCAGGTTTTCAAAGTGCTATAGATTTTTGTACTGAAATACACAGGATCACTGTCGAAATTGTCAGGTGGATGCTGGAGTTTTCACAGCTGGACCGGACATACAAAGGGCTCTTGGCACCCGAAAAGGAGTGGGAAATGGAGTGAGTTTGTTCGTAGTATCCAAGAGATGACTGAGTATTTCTGATTTTTTTTCCGCTTTAGACAGGAGCAGAGATGATTTTAAATTTGAGGGAATGGAGGTTTGAATTCCCATCACAAGAAGCCCCTGGCAGCAGGGCCGGGGGGGGGGGCCAAGTCGGGCAATTTGCCCCGGGCCCCACAGGGGCCCCCACGAGAGTATGGTATTCTGTAGTATTGCAACTTTTTTTATGGAAGGGCCAGTGGCATAGCCAGGTGGAGCGAACAGGGGGAGCGATCACAAAAGCGCTTTTACTGACAGGGCGGCGCTTCTACTGACAGGGTGGCACTCTGGGTCTTGGGCAGCACTTCGGCAGCGGGTCCTTCAGTGCCGCTGAACACGCCCAGAGCGAGTGAAGGACCCGCCGCCGAAGACCCAGAGTGCCACCGGGTGAGTAAAACTAAAGGCGCTTAATTAATTAAAGGGCCCCCAAAATTGCTTTGCCCCATGCCCCCTGAATCCTCTGGGCAGCCTGCTTGGCAGTAGCCACATGCTCTTGTTGGCAGCCTGTGCCAACGTCTGCCCTTCACCCGGAAACAGTGGATAAGCACACAAGCTCGATGCTTCTGCCGAAATGAAAAGCAGTGAAATACTTAACATTGAAATTGTCATCATTAGACTTCAGAGTTAGTAGCCCCTTTGAGATGAATGGCCGTCATTCGCACTTCTCTCCTAGCAATTGCTCCATGCTGTCTGCCGATTGAGGAATACGCATAGTTGTGCATTCCATTCCCATTTTGAAGGTTTTCTTTTCCACAATAAGGGCTAGAGACTTAATTTTTTTAAAATAAAGGCTTAGACTCTAGAGCAGAGGTGGCCACCTGAGTCTGAGAAGGAGCCAGAATTTACCAATGTACATTGCCAAAGAACCACAGTAATACGTCAACAGCCCCCATCCACTCCCCGCCCTTCTGTGCCTCCCGCCTGCCGGCAGCCCCCACCAATCAGCACATACTCCCCCCTCGCACCACAGTCAGTTGATTCACATGCGCAGGAGGCTATGGGGGAGAAGGGAGAGGAGCGAGGGCATGCAAGTCTCAGAGGAAGGGGCCTTGGGAGAAGGGGTGGAGTGGGGACAGGGCTTGGGGCAGAGCAGGGGGTCAAGCAGTGAGCACCCCCCAGCACATTGGAAAGTTAGCATCTATAGCTCCAGCCTCGGAATCAGTGGCTAGGTAAGGAGCCGCATATTAACCTCTGAAGAGCCGCATGTAGCTCCGGAGCCACGGGTTGGCCCCCCCTGCTCTAGAGCACAGTTACATGGTAATTTCCAAACAATGGGGCATTGCACAGCCATTTATGTGGCTCCATAATGACTTAATGCACAGAGTCAGGCTGTCTATAATCCTGCAGTCCCAGTGTCCAGAAGTGAAAGATCTTCATGCACACACTGGTCCATGGTGGAAGTGATGAAGCAAATGATAATAGCACTAGTTTCTAAAGCCATTGACTTTAAAATGATTTTCATTGAATTGTTTTTCCTCCAAAGTGGTAAATTTTGTAAAGTTTCAAATTAAAAGTTACTGATCATTTATTTTGTTGTAGTGTTGTGTGATGGGGAGGTCTGCCCCTTAAGGATAGTAGAGTCTAGTGGTCAGTCCACCCTGCCATGTGGCATGGCTCTTTAAGGATCCAATAGAGAGATATAGAGACATAAGGGGGATAGAGCTAGAGGGAAAGTGTCTCGGGGAATGAATAGTGTTTGGAGAAGAGATCCTGTAACTTTAGGCCCCAGGGCTAGGAGCCTTGCGGAGAGGGTGGGGCAAGGCTCCCTTCTCACCCAGCCAATAGAAAAATGAGCTGGGAGAAGGGACCGGTATAAATGCTGCCTCTTCCCTCAGAAGCCAGGTAGATGCCTGTAGATACTGCAGGGGGTGAAGAGTTTCCTACAGGACCCTGAGTTAACAGGGAGAAGACAGCAGCAGGGGTCGGTCTGCCTGCTGAACCCTCCCAGCCTGAGGCTAGGATGGATTGGGGAAAACGGGTCAGGAGGAGAAGCTGCATAAGACCCTACTACTGTCCTGAAGCCTAAATCCAACTTCAAGGAGGAGATCCAGGAGGTTCTAGTATTAAGGAGAGGGAGAGGGAGAGGGACAGGGTTGTTGTGTGACATACAACCCAGCCCTGGGAGGAGGGGTGGGCCTTCTGAACGGTGGAGGAAACTGAATAGGACTTTTACATGGTCCCAGAGAGGGCATGAACTAGAGAGGCTAAAGGAGTGAGTTACTGCTGTGGAATAAACCTGACTCTGTTAAGGGGTATATGTTAGAATGGTAAATAAACCAGACCCTGCAAAGAGGGGTTGAACTAACGTGGTCTGGGTAATTGTTTGAAAAGATCCAGAGGGTGCTGAGTACAATGTACCGGCAGGGCATAACAGGCCATAATAGCACATGCCGGAGAGGCACGCCCTCATGGTATGCCGAACGTGTCTGAACTTTTATCATTGATTCCTCTAGGAGCTCCAATTGGCAGCTTATTTAACCAAACTGACAATGGTACCGGTGGGGATGTTGCACAGACTGCTGAACTTACTGCTGCCTTCGAGTTCACAGACTGAGCTTCTTTCTGTTCTGGATTCAATCAGTGACAAATATTCAGACAGTGTTATTGAAAGTGACATCAACGGGGAGGAAGCTGACAGCTGTAGAAAGAGGTAAGTGTGCGTCGGTTTATAGCTGAAAATTCCAGCTGGAGGTTATTACTTTGAGGGAATATATATCCATTGGACGGACAGGAGCAGAAGTCAAGCAAATGAATGGGTTTTCCTGCTGAAATGTTCTTCCTGGGGGGGACTAAATCATTTTAACTAGATCACTTTTTCATAGTTATAAATATCTTAACTACAATCTGACTTTAACAGAGGAAAAATGTGATCTGTATAGTTCATAGATGTAACAAGTCATTCTTTGCTTTTAGATGTTCTTCCTCCATTTTCTTATTTGCTACATTTTCTTTTGATGTATTTTATTGGTTTTAATTTGCATTTGCTTATCTATACACTTTTCTTTTCACCATTTATTTTAGTAATATTTATACTAAGTATAGCAGGCTTCAATTGTTGTAAACTGCTGCTGTGACACACTGAGGTAGGCAGTATATGGAGTAATAAGATCTGTAAATTACAGTCAAACCTCCGAGTTACGGACACCTCGGGAATGGAGGTTGTTCGTAACTCTGAACAAGACGTTATGGGATGCTCCTCAGGGTAGACTGCTCGGAGTTGGGGCTCATAGCTCTGCAGTGGCTGCCTGGCGAGTGAGGGTGGGGACAGACAGCTGGTTCTAGCCCCCTGTCTGCAAGGGTGATGAGTAAGGCATCCTGGGGCACTGCAGTGCCGGTGAGCACGCAGTGCAGGCTGTGGCCCTTTAAAACTGAGCTACTTCTCCAGAGCACAGGATGCAGGCAGGAGCTCGGGCTCCGGCTCCAGGCTAGCTTCCAGTAGCAGCTTGGGAAGTTTCTTTCCCAGGCTCTGAGCTTGCAAGTTTGTCCCCCTCCCAACCCGGCAGGGAGAGGGGAAAACAGCATTCACTACCTCCTACCTGTAAGAGGCTGTGGGGAGTTGGGGGTGGGAGTGGGGACAGGCAGCCCAGATGTGCCAACCTTTAAGATGCAAATACAGGCATGGTACAGTATTTGCTGGCTTGTTTGTTTTGGGTTTTTTTTGTCTCTGCTGCTGCCTGGTAGCTTACTTCTGGTTCCCCATGGTGTCCAGTTGACCAGTCAGTCCATAACTCTGGTGTTTGTATCTTGTAGTCCTTTCTAAAGTTTTTTGTTTATTTTAAATATATTTGACCTTATGTGTAATAAGAAATAAAATGTAAACTAAGCAATAAATTGCAGTTTGACGCTTACAATTCTAAGAAAGCACTATACACAGAAGCTCGAATCTGAACCTTTACAAATATATAGGTATTTGTGGCTTTAGATCCAGACAGGGCCTTAAGATTCTGGTGTTCTGTGGTTGAACAAAAATCAAGGGCTAACATTTCCAGTTCAGTTGCAGAGATGACAACTCGCAAGAACAGCTGTGCTTACAAAATTTCAGCCCAGGATGACAGCGATCTTAGGAGAGGAGCTAACCTAGCTAGATTTCCACTGTTTTGGCCAGTAAAAATCTTACATAATCAACTGTCTCATGAGATCACTGTCACTTTGATCCAAACAATTAATGAGGCTTCAGTATCATCATATACAAACCCAGCTTTAGCAATCAGTTCCCCTTTTAAGTCCTTGCAAGAAACACCATAGATCCATCCCTGGCCAGCTTTTCATCAGCTTGGACAGAACAAAGTGTGTGGTTCTCCCTGAATCCTAGAGGGTAATATAAACACGCTACATAGTGGGCAGCGCTGTCTTAGGTTTTGCAGAAATCTTTAAAATGTTCACAGAGCAAACTCAATAACCAACTGTTAATTGCTCATAACTTTTCTATTTTAGGCCCCAGTCTCCAAAGAAATCAATGTAGACAAATTCTTGTGTCCCACCTGAGTCCCATTCAAGCAAGGGGGACTTCATGCTTATGCAGATGCTTTTGCAATATAGGGATCTTAATTTTTTCTTCAAGTGCTTGCTCATGTCGATTCCATTCTAGGTGCGTGCATGCTCACGTGCACAGTCGTTGGATATTTTTGCCTTAGCAGTATCTGTAGGGTCGGCTGTGAGGCCTCCTTCAGTGCTGCACTCATTCACTGGTATATTAAGCGCCACCGACCCTACGCCCTCTCAGTTCCTTCTTACCGCCTGTGACTGGCAGTGCAAGAGCGTAAGCGGTTCTATACAACCCATTGTCTGTTTTCTTTGTTTACAGTTTGTAGGTACTTAGTTAGCCATTAAGTTAACTGTTAGGTTAGTTCAGCAATTAGAGTCCCAGCTGGGACTTCGCCCTGGGGTGGGGCATAGCCGTTCTCCAGCTTCAAACCATACTCGTCATGCAACAGGACGATGCCTATTAGTGATGCCCACAACAGCTGTGTGAAGTGCTTGGGGGAATCCCATAGGAAGGACAAGTGCAGAATCTGTAAGAAATTTCACCCTACAACCCAAAAGGGTGGGGTATCGGCTTGAGGGCCCTCCTCATGGAGGCTGCGCTTCATCCTGCGTTGGAGCCGTCCCGCTCGGACCCTGCGCCTAGCACCTTGGCATCGGTGTGGAGTGCTCTGCCCAGCACCATTTCCCCTCGCTGGTGCCTAAGAAGCTGCAAAAGAAGAAGAGCCCTGGAGCTTCACAGGAGTACCACTTCATAGGGGTACCTCTGCAGTCAGACTCCCTAGGCCCCTAGCCTGGCCAGGTATCCCACTCCCAGGAGCTGCAGGGGACCCTGGCTTCTCCTGGGGCCCTTGTTGCCCAAAGTGGCCCTGGTGGCGAAAGATCAAGCAGGCCAGCCAGCACCGCAGATGCCACACCAGGCACCAGATTCAGCTAAGACCCCAACACTTAAGGGCAAGCCGGTCATGGAACTGCCCCATAGGGCAGCGGAGCATCCTTGCTCTCCAGATTGCAGGTGTGGAACCCCATCTCCACGGCCTAGGACTCCAGCCCCGCACACTTGGTCTCCGGTCAGTAGGCTCAGGTTCCCGATGCCGCGCTCTCCCTCTGCAAGGCATGGGACACTGGAGTCAAGGCACCAGTCCCTGTACCTCTGGTACCGGTGAGCTTCCAGCCTAAGATCACCGCAGTGCAGGTCATCATCATGGTCTCCCAGACATTGGTGCCCAACAGAGCGGGAGTGCTCCCATTCACGGCACTGGTTTCCACCTCTCTGTTTCCTCTCATCAGGCAGGGACCGATCCTCGCCTTGCTGGTCGCCAGCCAGGGTCATTTCGCAGACTCAGGCCTCGACGACTCTGCCCTGGTCACCGGAAGGGCAATGGTCCAAGTCGGACTGGGAGTTTAGCCCCTTGCTGAGGAGCGGTGATTCGCCCCCAACCCGCGAAGCCGGCATGGTGCCTGCAGTGGTGGAATGGCCTTAGGGACAGTGGCTCAATAGCCACACTGGAACCAGTGGGGCGTGCCCATGATGCCGACCCCGTATTCCCACCGTTCTTCCCTTGCCGCCTCGGACAAACCGCCTGCGGCACTGCCGTCATCAGACTCAGAACACAGGGAGAGGGATTGCTCAGTGGTTTGAGCATTGGCCTGCTAAACCCAGGGTTGTGAGTTCAATCCTTGAGGGGCCCATTTAGGGATCTGGGGCAAAAATTGGGGATCAGTCCTGCTTTGAGCAGGGGGTTGGACTAGATGACCTCCTGAGGTCCCTTCCAACCCTGATATTCTATGATTCTACTGAATGTGACGCAGGGTCAGCACAGCAGGTTACAATGCCTAAGGAGACTGAAGGGGAACCCGTCCCTCCACTGGCAGTGCAATCATCATAGTTGTCTCCAGACGAAGCGGTGGTGTGCCCCCAACAACTTCAAGGAGCAACAGGCGCTCCATAAAAGAGTTGCTACCAATATGAACTTAAAAATTGAGGAGTTGGCAGAGGAGTCTGACGACCTCTTTAATTTTATATCCTCTACCACCCGAGCCTGGGTTACGCTGCCCATCCACCCAGGGGTCCTTAAGATAGCCAAATTGCTGTGGCAGACCCCCCCCCTTCCATTCCGCCTACCTCTAAGTAGGCGGAAAACAAGTATTACATCCCTGCAAAAGGGTTCCAATAGCTGTATACCCATCCTCCAACGGCATCACTGGTCGTGTCTGCTGTTAATGAAAGGGACAGGCAGCGCCAAGTCAGTGGCATGCCACGAGACTGGACTTAATTTGTCAGAAAGATTTACTCGATGGCCAGCCTGCAATTTCGGGTGTCTAACCACCAGGCCCTCTTAGGCAGATACAGTTTTAATCTGTGGGATTCCCTTAACAAATATAAGGAGGCCCTCCCACAGGACCGAGCCCAGAAGTTCGATGTTTAGTTGAAGAGGGCACAGCGGTGGCGAGAGAGGCCCTCCAGATGGCTTGGGATGCTACAGACTCGGCAGCCAGGATGGTTGTTTCTGTGGTGGTCATGAGGCGCAGCTCCTGGTTACAGTCCTCTGGGTTATCCCTGGAGATACAGGCCACCATGCAGGACCTCCCGTTTGAGGGGGCAGGGCTCTTCTCTGAGCTCACGGATGCAAAGCTCCACAGCCTTAAAGACTCCCACGCCACCCTTTGTTCCTTGGGCCTTCACACCCCTCAGCAGGCCAGGAAGTTGTTCCGTCCTCCACCTCTTCTGCCTCCCCAGTCTAGGTCCAGGGGAACTTCGCAGCTGAGCACCAACAGGAAAGATAAAGACAAAGGGTCTAAGCGGCATTACCCGTCATTTTTCTGTTCATCTGCTCAGCCTGGCCCTTCCAGGAACAAAGGAGGCCAGAAGCAGTCATTTTGAGAGTGCACACGAGGACGACGCCCCAGTGACATCCCAGGATCCACCCTCCTACTTTTTCCTCAACCGCCTGTGCCCCTTCCGGTCGGCCTGGTTGCAGCTTTTCTTGGATCGTTGGGTGCTCAACATAATATCTTCGGGTTACACCCTGCAGTTCATGGCCGACCCTCCCTCCCAGCTCCCTGCCTCGTCCCTCCTCATCCCTCTTCTCACTAGCAACTCCTCGTTCAGGAGGTCGAGAATCTCCTGTGCCTGAGGGCGGTGGGGGAGGTCCCTGGGGACATGAAAGGGAAAGAGTTCTACTCCCACTATTTCCTAATCCCAAAAGCAAGCAAAAAGGGAGCCTCAGACCCATTCTGGACCTGCATTGCCTCAACAGGTCTCTCAAGACGTTGAAGATTTGCATGGTATGTCGCCATCGACTTGAAGGATGCATATTTCCATTTTCCCAGGACACAGACGCTTCTTCCGTTTTATGTTGGGCCACCACCATTTGCAATTCACGGCACTGCCCTTTGGTCTCTCGTCAGCCCCAAGAGTGTTCACAAAGTGCTTAGCACCAGTGGCCACTTACCTGAGGCGTCGAGGTGTTAAAATTTACCCGTACCTCGACAACTGGCTAATAAAGGGCCGGTCCCAGGATCAGGTGTGGCGCCATCTCAATCTGATTTACTCCACCTGTTGCAATCTGGCGCTGTTAATAAACAAGAAAAAGTCAACCTTAGTTCCAGTGCAGTGCATAGAGTAATTGGAGTGGTCCTCGACTCTACTCAGGCCAGAGCCTTCCTCCCCGATGCCGGGTTTCGAGCCACGGTGGACTTGATCTTGTGCATGCAAATCCACCCTCTCACCACTGCTCACACGTGTCTGCAGTTGTTGGGCCAAATTGCAGCCTGCACTTATGTGGTCTGGCACGCATGGCTCCACCTCAAGCCTCTGCAAGCATGGCTAGTATGAGTCTACGTCCCCAACAGACACAGCATGGACCATGTAGTCAGAGTCCCAGACCAGATACCGTCATCACTAACATGGTGGCAGAATCCTGGATCGGTGTTGGAGGGAGTTCCCTTCTCTGCCCCATCGGTGACCCTTGTCTCCAGTGTCTCAGGGTGGGGAGCCCACCTGGGCAATCTCAGCATGCAAGGTCGATTTACGATTGCTCCCTACACATCAATGTCAGGGAACTTAGCGTGGTTCACTTGGCCTGCCACGCCTTCCTACCTCACATAAAAAGCAAGGTGGTCCAGGTCCTGAAGGACAATACAGTGGCTGTGTTTTATATCAAGAAGCAAGGCAGAGCCAGATTGTCTGTCCTTTGCCAAGAAGCCCTCAAGCTCTGGGACTTCTGTGTTCAACACGACATCCATCTCGTAGCCGCATACCTCCCCAGGGCCAGGAACACTTTGGCAGATCGCCTCAGCAGGACCTCCTTATCTCACCATGAGTGGTTCCTCCATCCAGAAGTGGTCAGCATCATCTTCCAGAGGTGGGGGACTCCCCAGGTGGACCTGTTCGCATCCAGGCAGAACAGGAAATGCCATGTTTTCTGCTTGATTCGGGGGATCAACAGGCTTGCTGTTGGATGCTTTTCTGCTCCCCTGGTCGGGGGCTCTGTTAATTCCTCCGGTGCCATTAATTCAAGAGTCCTCATGAAGATCAAGCAGGACAGGGCAAAGGTGATCCTTATAGCACCAGCTTGGCCTTTCCAGCACTGGTTCGGCACGCTGCTGGACCTCTCGGTGGCTGCTCTGTTACAGCTATTGCTCCGGCCACAACTGTTGTCCCAAAACCACGGCAGTCTTCTGCATCTGAGCCTGGTGGCACTGCACCTGATGGCGTGGCTGCTGCATGGTTAAACACAGAAGAGCAGGAGAGCTCAGTTGGTGTCCATGCGGGTCCTGTTGGGCAGTAGAAAGCCCTCCACTAGAGTGACCTACCTAACCAAATGGAAGCGGTTTGCTTGTTGGACTTCGAATAAAGCCCGAGTGGGCCTCGCTGCAGTTAATCCTGGACTACCTTCTGCATCACAAGCTCCAAGTCCTGTCCCTTTCATCTATTAAAGTCCACTTGGCCGCTATCTCGGCCTTTCATCCGCCCCTCTAGTGTAGGTCGGTTTTCACCCAGGACATGACTGCCAGGTTTCTCAAGGGCCTCGAGTGCCTCTACTCACACATCAGGGACTCCGTCCCTCTGTGGGACCTGAATCTTGTGCTATCACAACTCATGGGACACCCCCCCTCCCACCTTCGAGCCTCTAACTTCCTGCTCTCTCCTTCTTTCTTGGTTGCAATAACCTCGGCCCACAGGGTCTCTGAGATTAGGGTGCTTACCTTGGAACTGCCCTATACAGTCTTTTACAAAGACAAGGTCCAACTGCAGACACACCCGGCTTTCCTCCCCAAAGTGGTCAGACAGTTACTTATCTGTCTTTTTTCCAAAGCCACATAGGTTGGAGGAGGAGCGTAGGTTGCATTCCCTAGATGTCAGGAGGGTGCTAGCCTTCTACGTTGAAAGGACCAAGCCATTCCACAGATCAATGCAATTGTTAGTCATGGTGGCTGACCGGATGAAAGGTCGTCCAGTGTCTGCTCAAAGAATTTCTTCTTGGATCACTGCCTGCATTTGCTGTTGCTACGATCAGGCAAAGGTGTCCCCTTTGGTGATTGTCACTTCCCACTCAACCAGGGCGCAAACCTCTTCAGCACCTTTCCTAGCCCAGGTGCCTATCCAGGACATCTGTAGGGCGGCCACTTGGTCGTCCATCCACATGTTCACATTCCATTATGCACTTACTCAGCAGGCCTGGGACAATGCTGGCTTCAGTAGAGCAGTGCTGCAAGCCGCAAGACCGTGAACTCAGAGCCCACCTCTGAAGATACTGCTTGCGAATCACCTAGAATGGAATCAACATGAGCAAACACTTGAAGAAAAATCAGTTACCTTTCTTTTCATAACTGTTGTTCTTCGAGATGTCTTGCTCATGTGCATTCTATTACCTGCCCTCCTACCCCTCTGTTGGAGTTGCTGGCAAGAAGGAACTGAGAGGGCGTAGGGTCGGTGGCGCCTAATATACCAGTAGATGAGCGCAGTACTCAAGGGGGCGCCACAGCCGACCCTACAGATACTGCTAAGGCAAAAATCTCCAATGCCTGTGCACGCACCTCGAAAGGAATGGACATAAGAAACACATCTCGAAGAACAGCAGTTACGAAAAGGTAGGTAACTGTTTTTTTTCTTTTAAATCTAGCAAAGTGACAATACCTCATGGAGAACTAGCTGCATTCCAAGGCTCCTGTTTGGCAAACATTTATGCACTTGTCCAACCTCATAATTCACAGCCCCGAGGCACAGTTTGGTTCCTGGTTTCCCCCTCACTCCCTGGGGAATGTAATCTTTCCCCAGTCTTTCCTGGTTGAGATTACTTTTGTTAGGGGGCTTATTCCTTCACCCACTTACTTCCCTGGTCCTTCTCGCATGAACAGAGAGCAACAATACCCCAAGTCCAAAGGTACAAACAATTGGATGTTTATTGGGGTGAACTTCCAGCAAGCATGATTCCAGTTTCCTTCCTTAGTGTCCCTCTTCCCAGCTCTGACACCACAGAGCCTTACCTGTGTCCCTGTTCCCATTCCTGCCCTTAGCCAAACATGATTCCAATTTTCCCACCCCCATTCCCTGTTCCCATTTCCCTCTTTAGCAAAACATGATTCTGATTTCCTTACCCCCATTCTCTGTTTCCATCTCCCCCACCCACACACCCACCTCCTCACTTCCAGATTGACTGCAGACTATATAGTAAAACTTGAGTTCTGCTTAGCTATACCTTAACCAATCATTTTCCTGAAATTTAACTAACCAATCCTAACATATTGTAACATGATTATGTAACCAATTATATCCCACCACCTTAATTAGTTTACACCCAGCAAAATTAATTATACAGCAGACAGGAACAATCACAGAACCAAACAGAGATTATACAGACAAACAATAGCAAAGTGGGAAATATAATGACAAAACAATACAGAAGTGAGGATTTCACATCCCAGCTATTGATAAGTGAGTTCTTGCCAGACAGGATGCTATCAAACTAAGTTTCCTTTTACATTTTCTAGGCACTTCCCTTTCACTGGAGGTGATAGGCACTATCAGGACAGGATTGTATTCCTAACAGCCCAATAGCACCTTATTTCAATGTGACTGTTTTGGAATGTGAGGATGTGACCGGTCGCTTCCCAGCGTATGGCTGCCTCTGCTGCTTAGCCAAAGGCCTTAGCCTAAGAACAGGGCCTCAGACTGTCACAGTAAGAGAAGGACCTTACAGTGATTTTGATTCTTTCTTTTATGCCTCTATAACTAGCCAAGTGATAAGAATACACCTACATTCTTCGAGTACAGGCCTTTACCGACAGGCCTGAATATCTATATCCTAACAACTTTCCTTTCTGCACTGGCTCAGTTGTGCTGGCTGGTATGTTGTGAGCATGGAGTCCAGGCTTTGCACAGTCCTGGCCCCTGCCCTCCCACTCCTTGACCACCTGCACAGGAAGGGGGATGGCAGATCCACAAAGGCTAATGCAATCTAGAATGTGGGAAACACACAGAGGATGAAGGAGGAAACTTACACTACCTCACTTCCTTGCCGGGGAGCACAAGGTGAGCCAGGATCTCTCCCATAATAAATATTGTTGGGCAGGAAATTATAGCAAAAATAACTGAACATTCCTGCAGAATGTATTTAAGTTATTATTAACATTCATTTTAATACCGAAAACCAGACGGTGGTGGTGATTTTTGTTTGTTTGTTTTTGGTGTGTTTTGTTTTGAAGGTGGGGATGTAAAATTCAGGATTTTCTTTTGTTTCCCTCCTTGCCCCCCTTACTCCTTCAGGAAGCACCAAGGGTCATGGCAAGCATTAGAGAGCAAAGTAAGGCAGGATCTGATAAGCAAAGGCTTGGAAAAGATGCATTCTGCAAACAGGAGAAAAGAAAGGTAAAGAAAAATTGGTACTTGATATGGGGGAAAATACAACTCCTTGTACCTCATATCTCCCAAGAGTCGTCCTTTTTGTGAGAAGTGTTTTAGAATTCATGAAAACATTCACAAACATGTGTCTTCTACCACTGTTGTCCCAGTTCTCGGAATGCATGTGAATATGGAACTCCTGTTTCATAAAGCATCCTGTACTTTTACTGTACAATAATATTAAAGTCCTTGCAAGGGAAATATTGATGCTCCACATGTTTTGCCCACTTGCGTCCTTGTATGTAACATTTGTTCTAAGGCTGCTTACTCATTGAATGCTATATTTCATACAGTGAAGTGGAAATTGGGTTAGGGTGGCGAAAATAATACATACAGTATGTCAACTTCTAAATATGGTTTACATTAGTCTCCCAAAGTACAATGAATATTTTTTGCCAGGATATGACTATACAGTCAAGCGAACCATTTTGTGCCGGAACTATTATAAATCATTTTTAAATTCAATTTCCGTTTCTTAATATAGCCTGCTAAAGAAGAAGCAACTTGCACTCATGGAAAGAGCATCATTCTCTCATCTCGGATGTTTGTCTAGACACCCTCCTGTGGAACCTTCTGGCCAGCCTGATTCATTGAACACTTCTGCTGCAGAAGCCATTGAGCTATTAGACACAGGGGAGAAGATATTTCTGTTCCGTGATCAAAGGGATCCCATACTTGCTTTGCATAGTTCTCCAAGAAAAAAGAAAAAGAACTTCCTAAATTCCAAAAAGGCTGCATGGGCAAACACAGGCTAATGAGGTAGATAGCCATTTAGTGCATCAATTAGTGAGACGAAGGTTATTTCCAAATAAGGGTCATGAAAAAGGAGCTGGTGTACGTTGAAATCATCTGAATCATTGTTAAAAAACAATTTTTGTATAAGTTGCAATAGTTTGATTTTTGCATTGTAAATAGTTTTTATTCTTAGAACTGGATTTTGTGCTCTTGTCATCCAGCAGTGCACAATCTGTATCTATTAACTATTGTTTTAGTATGCGCAGGAGCAGTAGGTGAATTTTTGCCATACTCTGTGATGCACATTACATAACTGAGGGAAGGATGTAGTGCTCATATAATTCAATGCACCAGTTTTGTACTCTCAGCGTATGCGCAGTGTGCCTAGCCTTTTCATAGCATTGTCTTCAGCCAGGTGAAGAGCTGGTAGCTCGCAGTCAGCAGGCACTTGTCATGGATCTGCAACATACTCTGAAGTTGACCGCATCTACATTGTGGGTCGTTAGAGAAACCCCATTTGAAGAGATTGGCCGCACAATTGTCCTGTCCTGTTTGAAACCGGTTCAGGGAAGCCCACATGAGCCTTGGCAGGTCAGATGGTTGGGTCGGTGATGAGAGAGTGATTTACGACTATCATCGCTGACTCATTATGCCAAGCAGATTCCACCGTCATGTCTTGTGGTGGTATAAGTGACCATAAAGAGTATCTAGAAGACAGGTGAACTTAGCAGGTGGTTGAAGAGGTCTGAGTACAGAGGCAAGTCACATTTCTCACAGATCTTGGCCGGGAGCATAATGGAGGCCCCCTTGTGGCGAATATGGGGCGGTGCTATGTTACTAAGCATTGGCAGCCATGGCAACTGAGTTGCACATAACATCCCAGTAACACTGCGCATAGCTTTGTTAAGCTGCATGTCAACCAGCCTCATGTGAGATGAGCAACAGCAGACAGAAGCACAGTACTCTGCTGTTGAATACTGATTTGACTGTTTGCTATATTTTTATTATTGTTTATATGTTGTGGTAACTAATGTGATGTCAACCCTGCTTAATTATTGCAGGATACAGTACTAAATACAGATAAGGATAAGGAAAAACTGTATACCAGATAACTGTGGTAATTATTAATAAATAGTTTGTTAATAACCACTATAAATTTGGTTTTATTTTTGCAAACTGCTTTCTAAAATTACAGCAAGTGGGCTAAATCCGCCAAACACTTATGGGTGTGCTTAATTTTGCTCACCAGAGTAGTTCCATTGCCTTCAGTTTTTCACCAGCTTCCTTAAACTTGACTGTTTAAACTCGGCTCAGGCATCAGTGTGTGAAGAATTTGGCCCAATCTTTGTACTAGTGGAGCAACAATATTGTATCTGCTCACAGACAAAGGGGGAAAAGGGTAATTATATTATTTTCCGAAGGCATTAGTGATCACAGCGTTACCAACGGTAACGGCCTCGGCCTCTCATGAGCGTCCCCTTTCTCTGGCCAGTGTACCTGCAATCACAGTTCTTTTTCACGGGGCGGCACTCACCTCTTGTGATGGACCCCTTTGGTTGGCTGGGCCTGTGAGCCTGCTTTTGTTTTTTGGTCTTACATTGGGGTGGCACCCGCCTCTTGCAAGTGGCCGCCTCCCCCGGCCAATGTTCTTTCGGTGGGTCTTCAGAAGTTCAATCCTCTCGCTGAGCCTCACACACTGTCCCTCCTTCTGGGGTATACAGTCCCGAGTTCTTATCATGACCCTGGTATGGAGCCGTAGCCCTTAGGCTTCCTTTCAGATGCACTGCCTTCAACTGCCCAGCCGGGGGCCATCTCAGTACCCTCAGTTAGTGTCCTTTCAGCAGCCCTCCCTGGTCTCAGTCTGCAACCAGACCAGCAGGGCCCATTTGGTACCCTTGTTTGGTCTGGCCAGGTTCTGTGCTCAGTCCCCCGGGCTCAGTCTGCCCACACTGACCTTGTCATGGTCCTGCTGGTGCTGTATTCAGCCAGCCAGCCAGCCAGACACCCGGTCTTTGGCAGCCTTCCCTAGGCTCTGCTCTGCTGCTTGCCTTTTATCTGGCCCTTCTGGCCTCTAATTGGTCGTTCCAGCAGCCCCTCTGATTGTCCACTCCTCTGCTTCCACTCTAGGCTGCCTGGAGGACTTCTCACTGCTCTATTGTGGAGCGGGGTGATGCAAGGCTGCAAGGCCTCGAGCCAGGGGGCCTTTGGACCTAGTCCACCCTGCCACACCAACTCTTACAATTGTAGGTGTTTTCTGAAAGCTCTAGCTCCTGGATTCACGTGAAGCCATGAGAATCTGCTCATTATTTAAGAAATAAGATTTTAGCCCTCAAACGGGGGGGGGGGGGGCGCTGAAAATATGAACCATAGAGGCACTGACACCAGAAGGCAAATAAAAACAACCCCAAATGTACTATTTTAAAGATCTCATGATGTTTAAGACAATCATGATTTTTAGAGCATAAGTCATCATTTTTGAATGCCCAGTGTTAGCAATGTTATGATCACATACCCTGAAGCTGTTTGTATATTAGTGCTGTATATTTTTATATAGACAAGATGTCCATTTCCTTTGGGAAAGTAAACACTAATTGTATTTGTTTGCATAATTGGTCATAGAATTGCAGAATTGCATTTATTCTGAACCTAAGTGGAAAGGTCACTTCTCTTTATAAAGTTAGGGACTTTACAGACTGTACAATAAAGAACCATTAACAGTTTTCAGCTACTAACACAGTTCCTGATCATGTGGATTAATTAGCATCACATCCTGATAATCCAGTAACAATTCTCAACCTGTTCTTCATTATCCTCACTGAGTCAAAAGTGAATAAGTTTGTACCATGGTAGAAAAAGGCATTTTCAAGTAACGATTGAGTTTGGATATGTTCAATTTACATCCTTCCACTCAGCCTTAGGGAGATGCAGTAGGTCTACTTCTGCATTACAGCCCTAATCCTGCTCTTATATGTAGCACCCTAGGCAATAGAACCCAGGGAATGAGCACATGATACCAGCGTGGTGGCTAGTTATAAAAGGGATTTAGTATAATGAACTGATTAATGTGTATATTATATTTTGTGTGAGGCTTGGGTTGGGTGTTGGAATTAAATTACCCTTTTATTTATTTAGATTTATACAAAGTTAAATTGTTGAAAGCCTGTTATTGATCTGATAATAAATTATCTTAATTTACTGGGACCTTGGAGAGAACTGAATATTATAGGAAGGAAATTAACTTTTTTCCCCTCCTATTCCTACCAATCTGTCAGGAAAATAAGATAGATGGGAAGTCCTGTCCTAACATCTGAATGCCCGGAAGGGCCATGCGAACAGAGAAGTTCTACAGAATGTATTACAGCCAAACAGCATGAAAAATGCAACAGTACAGAACAGACAATGGAAAGTGAAATTGGAAGTTCTGGAAAGTCAATTTATAGACACTAATAAAATAAGAAATAGATTAGTGCACTAGAATATAAATATAATTGAATTTACAAGCAATACTGTCTGTCTTTGCGTTCATATTAAATGCAAGCTGATGTTTTGAAAAAAGCAAAACTGATAGTCACTTACCTACTTATATGAAAGAATAAAACAAGAAATAAAATTGCTTCACTTAAACCATCTGACGATAGGTTTTTTTAATAAAGGACAAAGCCATCAACAAAATTTTGAAAATGTTACAGCTAAACACTCCTGAGGCTAAAGCATTCTCTGAGATGTTCAAAGCATTTTTTTAAAAATTCCCTAAAGTAGCCTTAAACCTACCCAGCAGCAGTAACGTGTATGCTCCCATACCTAATAAAGCAATAACAGAAATGAATAAAGGTTTTTTAAAAGCCCCAGGGTGAGATGGCTTCCCAGCAGAATTCTTCTCAAAGTAGAGAGAGATTTTAACCCGTACATTGTCAGATCTTTATAATGAATTCTTGTCATTAAAAAAACCCACAGAATTGTTTTCAGAAGCATTTATTACTGAAAATCCCAGTAGAGATTCCACTAATTGGATGGGATAGCTATAAATTATGAGGATAAAATGTATGCCAAAATTCAAGATCTTGTGACTCAGAATCTCATGTGTAAACTCACCAGGTTGGATTTATAAGAGATTATCTGTGTATCCAATAATGCAAGGATTTTTTGCACATCCAGCTCACCTGGCCAAAAAGCTAAACAGCTCAACAGTTGTAATCTCCTTGAATGTGGTAAAGGCATCCCATAGATGAAATAATAAAAATCACACTTCCATAATGCATTATATTTTTAAAGAACTATATAAATATTGAATCTCAAAACATCTATATTCAATAGATAATGCCCCAGTCCTGCGCTGATTAAACACACATGCTTAACTGTGTATAGGCCCAGTGAAATTATGGGCCTATGACAGTATGTGAAGGGGGGGGGGGTGTCTGTAAGTGTGTCCAAGTCTTTGCAGAATCAGGACCTTAGTAAATATTCTCATCCCCATTTTACAGATAGGAGATAACGCTGCCACGGACTCTGTAATAGCTGAGCACTGTAAATTAAATCCATTTGGACATTTCTATTAGTTTTAGGGTTGTTACCAGTTACAAAGAAAAGTTTTATGGAGCAAAGGGCCAGATCCTGCAAGATGCTGAACACCACTTGGGAGTCAGAGGGAGCTGAGGGCATTCTGCACCTTGCACAGCCGGGTCCCAATGTGCTGTCATTCTGGTCTAATACCCTACTGAAAAACAGATGGAGCCAAAGTAGAAAGATAAAAGGATCTGATGTGCGAGGTCTGGGTCTTGTGAAGCTCACTGCACTATTGGGACCTAAAAAATAAATCCCATTCATCTGACAACTTTTCCTGTATGTTCTCCACCTGGGTACGGAATTCACTTTATTAAACAGTGGAGTCAAAGGTTTTGGAAATGGGGGAATGAACAGTTCAGTGATCCTGGAGGAGCTCACGTGCCTTCCCTTGAAAGCTTTAAATATTTTTCACCTTTTCCCGACTGTTGATAAGCAGCAATACAATGTACTTGGACTATTTGATCTCCTTAGGGACTCTCTCCCCTCCCCCTGAGAAAATAACATCCACTCAGTAGGTGGAGGTCGGGCAGAACCAGCAAATGTGACATTCCCCTCCCCTTACCAACAGCCCTCCTGCTTATCAGTGGACTCACTAAGGTAAAAAGAGATCCCACTTTAAACTGTAGAAGCCCTAGAAAAATAACTAATGAAAAGAATCAGGGGAACTAATAATAAATTCCCTTTGTCAGGGAACATTACTCCAGGACACAACAATTTCTGTAAATCATTAAAGAAAAGAAAATAACTCCTAACAAAATGACTTGCATAGTAACCATGTCAGTTTAATAAACATTGGTAGCTTTAGCCTTCATACCTGAAGGGTGCTTTGCCAGCATTTACAAATTAAGATGTTTATAACTAGCCATTTTAACCCACTGGTGAGCACAAATTATTTTTCCCCTATGCAGTGAGGGGGTGAGTCTATTACAGCTCCCAGACACAGAACCAGGGCCCAGATCCTTAAAGGAATGTAGCCCTTTATCTGCATATTTAGGGGCCTAAGCTTACCGTTCAGGCAACACTGACATTTTCAAAGCCACAGCTCAGCTGCTTCTGAAACCTGGATGTGCCCATGTCTCCTAGGTACCTACGTTGCTGCTTGTTGGAATTGTCAAAGCCACCTAATTGCTGATACCATCCCACAGCTAATGAGATGCTTAGAGCTCAAGCCAAAGGCCTGGAGGCCCCAAAGTGGGATTTTCTAGTCTAGGTAGTCGGGGGCTTGCCAATCTCTTCAGCAAGGCCCATCCCACAGGCAGACTCAGAACAGGCCTCACATCTGTTACCTGCCAACCCCCACAGCAGGAGGGTTGGAGGCAGCCTATCAGTAGGTAAAGGGGCACACAGAAGACAACCAGGGACACAGATATGTAGGGGAGTGGAAAGAGGTCTCAATGGTGAGAGAAATGTTTTTGGCTGGTAGGACATGGGCTACCTAAGCAGCTGACCTACCTTAGGTGCCTATCTCCAGGAGAGGGTTTGTAGCGGAGGATTTCAAGCGGAGAGGCATGTATCTCTGGCATGTCAACCACGGCAGCTGATTAAGCACCTAAGCCCTCCCCCCCATCCCTTTTTTAGGCATTTCACTCCTGG